CCAGGGGGTAGGGGAGGCCTGAGGAAGGTCAATGTGGGGGGGGAGGGGGGAGAGACATATGTACTATTTGTAATACTTTAAACATAAATAAATAAATAAATAAATAAATAAATAAATAAATAAAACAATGAAACTGGGCCTTATCAAAAAGAATATTTTAAATATGATGGGAGAAGACATTTTATGTTTTAAAAATATAATATGCCCAGAACTAGAATAATAATATAGTTCTAGTCACTGTACCTTAGGAAAACTTTAGTGAGCTATAAAAGGATACAGATGTATTTACAATAGTTATATAAATGTATACCACATATAATTGTTATCATTATTATATCCAAAAGCAAATAAAGTTCTACTATGCAAAAGAAAAAGTATAAAACTCTTTAAGAAAACTTAGTGGAGCTATTACTGGCGAGTCTACAACACAACACACAGGCATTCCGGTTTCAGTGAGTAGTCTCTCAACCGCCATGCATGAAACAGGAACCTATTTTTTAACATTGAGAGAGGTGCTTGAACTCGAAAAGGGTAGATTTAAGGTAAATCACAATTAATGTGAAATGAACTAAAAATCTTGAGATCTGAAAACAAAACTTTGAATCCTAAGAGACAAAACGCATTTACAATAAAAATATAGAGTTGGGAAGTTTTTGTAGAATTGCACAGAAAATAGCAGGAAGCAGGGAAGGTAGGGTAAGCTGGGGTCATAGCCTCCCACAGAGCTGCAGTAGTGCCCTAGCACACAGAAAGATCCAGGCTGCAGAGAGAGTGGACCTCTGGCCCCCCCCCAGGTGGCATCTGTTCCTGCTGCACTGTGGAAGCATCAGCTCTGTGTCTATCTGTGCAGGTGTTTTCTGGATGAGTCATAAGCATCTACAGGGCAGAGAACAAATCTTACCCAACTTGCTTGATATACTAGTACCACCCAGCTCAATGCTACGTGCAAGGTTTTTGATAAATAGATTTTAATTATTGTGATAGATTTCACATCCTTATATACCCATAAGGTCTATATTTGGTGATAAGAATGTGTTTTTTAATCTATTTTCTGTTCACCCCTGCTAAGAATTTGGCTGAATGCATGACTTTATGACATTGCTTTGCATAGGGTAGCTCAGAAAAATATTCTTTAGGGAACTACCAAATCTAAGATTAATAACTTCCTTTTTACAGGAGATTTTGCCGACGAATTTGTTCTGCTTGGGGAAGTGATCATCCTAGCGGATTTTCTTCACACACGCAATCTGCCCTTCTGAATCCACCAAGCCTTTGTTCAGCTGCCGTGTTTTTGCAGTTAAGCTCGTGCTACTGCTGCTCACGTTACCAGAGCATCTGGTATGGAACACAATCTTTGTCCTTTTCCAGACTTTAGTTAACTGGGGAAGGAATGTCACACACCATCTCCTTCCCTCCTCCCATGTACTTTCTCATCCCGAGAATATGGCTCCACTCAGGAGAGCACAAAGGAGTTTATTCAGGGGAGAGTCAGATCAAGTGGCTGCCAAGGCTCACCTTTATTACGTCTATTCAATATAACGTTCCATCCCAGTTATCACGGAGAGAGAGTGTGTCTCTTGCTGTGAAAATTTGTGTACTTTAAAATGATATTGTTAGTTTTTTCTATTTTCCTAAGAGAACATCAACATTGGTCTAGACCAGTGGTCGGCAAACCATGGCTTGTGAGCCACATGCGGCTCTTTGGCCCTTTGAGTGTGGTTCTTCCACAAAATATCATGCCTATACAGAAACTTCGTGGGCCCATGCACAGAAGTCAGTTTTCGGCCTGGGCGAGTCTATCTTGAAGAAGTGGTTTTAACGCCGAGCCACACTCAAGGGGCCAAAGATCCACATGTGGCTCACGAGCCGTGGTTTGCCGACCACTGATCTAGACCAGTGGTTCCCAACCTTTTTTATTTGGGGGGGGAGGGGGATGCCCCACCTAAGCATCTCTAAAACTCTGATGCCCCCCCTGTGACATATAATTCTTATTATTCAAAAAGTGAACTCCTATTCACATGGAGAAAGCCTAAAAGCTTGGTCTAAACAAGCTTCCAAAGAACATGGCATCCATGAAAGAGAAAAATAAAAGAACAAAAGGATAGTTGAAGTACTGAGGAAGAAATCACTAAGAAATTGTTAAATTAATAACAATATGAAGTGATATGAAAAAATAGCAAAGAAAGTTTCAAAACACATAATGGAGAACTGAAATGTATGAAATATGTCACAATATATATTTATATACTGTATATGAGGCCCCTAGAACCATAAGAAATGCAAAAAAAAAAAAAAAAAAAAAAAAAAAAAAAAAAAAAAAAAAAAAAAGTCACTGTTAATAGCTCATTCTCTAATTGCCCCCCTTGAAAATCAAATCTCCCTCCACCCCCCATGAGGCGTGTGCCCCACATTGGGAACCATTGGTCTCTAGACTGATATGGAGACAAGGTGACTCAAAAATTTTCACAAAAGCTGGGTCGCCTAGAATCCTTGCCCAAAATTGTATGAGGTAAGGGAGAAAATACAGTTCGACCATAAGCTCAGGAGTAACAAAACTTACTCCGATTTAATTAGAAACCAAAATTTCAAAAAGCTGATGATGTACATACTGATTACTTTCTTTCTCTAAGCCATCATTTACAGCTACACATTTACTTTCAGATAAATTGGTTGTCTTACACAAACATATCCATCATTTGATGCCTCTGACAAGGATCAGTCACTACTTGATAAGCCACAGCTTATCACTCCAGTGAATCCTTTCTTCACATAGTTACCCACTTTCTTTGTGGCAAGTACACTTATTCTTGTCTCCATACCAAAGCACACTGCTTAGACTCAGTGTACATGCCAGTCACCTCATTCTTCCTTAAGTTTTCTATATGGGTTTTTATTGATTTTAGACAAAAGGGGGAGGAATATGGATGTGAGAGAGAAACATCAATTGGCTGGGGATCAAGCCCAGCAACCCTGGCAAGTGCCCTAACCAGGCATTGAACCTGTGACCTTTTGGTTCATGAGACAATGCTCAACCAATTGAGCCACCCTGGCCAGGGCTTCTGTGCTGTACCAGCACAGCCAAGGGTTCGGCGAGCCTGAGGGGAGTCGGCAAAGGATGAAGAAAAGACAGACAGCCAAAACCAGTTTGGCTCAGTGGATAGAGCGTCCACCTGCGGACTGACAGGTCCCAGGTTTGATTCCGGTCAAGGGCATGTGCCTTGGTTGCGGGCACATCCCCAGTAGGGGGCAGCTGATCGATGTCTCTCTCTCATCGATGTTTCTAACTCTCTATCCCTCTCCCTTCCTCTCTGTAAAAAATCAATAAAATATTAAAAAAAAAAAAAAAAAAAAAGGACAAAGAGAATAAGCTGAGTCTAGGTGGATCTCCTATGCCTGGCTGAGATCATAGAACAGATCCAGACAGCAAGCTGGACCTTTATTTTATAGCCAGAGGTAAACAAGGCAGTGGTCACCATATAATGTTGTAATGTTCTTGTGAGTTTCACTTGTTTTGGCAGCACTTGCTGCCCCTCCCACAGCCCATTAGCTACCCAGGAAGGATTTAGGGAGCATCATAAGGTCAAGCTTAATTATGCTAAGAGTACTGCGCCCTCTAAGAGGGGACTTGTTTTTGGCTTTGCCAACAGGTCAGTCCGAGGCTTAACCCCATAACCGCTCCCTGCAGGCTTCTTTGGGTTTTTATCAGTCCACTAGATGAAGAAGGAGTAAGGACCAGGTCTATTCTCTGCATGACACTATTCCAAACAGTATATTGGTCTACCACTGTGCCTTACCCATGGTAGGTGTGCTTCTTACATTATATTTTCTTAACTTCATCTAAAGAAAACTGACACCCTCCCAGATCTGAATACAGCATTCCTCCCAGTCTACATTTCAGCTTTTCAGAATAATCTGTCTTAAAAATAAGAGTAGAACTTGAATACATACACATAATGAGAATGCTGCATATTGACAACTGAGTATTTTAATATATTCTAGAGCAAATGAGTGGGCTGTCCTATTTAAAATGCTGAACATTTGAAACTGAGGCTTGAAAGGGACCAAAGTTTTGCCACTCTGAAGCTGTCCTTTTAATATATTGACTTTAAGCTGTTTATAAGAGGAAACAAAAAAGAAAAGAAAAAAGACTCAGAAAGAACCTTGGCCCTTCCCCTTTCCCTGCCCAGGAGAGTCAGATAAAGAAAGCTGCTTCAGGAAAGAGATTTCAGGTTTCAGTTGAGCCTCATTTGAATTAACTACTGTAAATAGGAGGGCTTCAGGCAGGGGCGTGTTAGCTAGATAAGCTCTTTCATTCCATTGTTTCTGAGTTACATAACAATAATTTATCTGCCAACTGTGTGCCAGCCCATTGTCACTTTTGTAACTAATACCCCTTTTTTCCACCTTTTCTCTTTGTCCAAAATATCATAAACACCCAGTTTTGCATCTCTGTTTTGGAATTTTCATGCTTATGTGAATTCCCCATGTGCATGTATTAAAATTTTATATTCTCCTGTTAATCTCCCTGTCCATTTGATTATTAGTTTAGCGAGAAGAACTTAGAAGGTGAGAGGAAGAGTATTCATTTTTGTTAGCCTCCACGGCTCTCAATTTTAATCACTTAACCTCAAACATTTTTATTAGAATGAGACAAGCACTGTGAGAAAAACAAAGATGATGCTCTTAATAGCAATCAAAATAGGCATAAAATTTTTATAACGTCCTCATGCTTCTGAAACTCAGTGCCTAGCGAAAAGTTATTTGAAATGATTATTAAAACTAAGTGAGCTTTCCAAATGCAAATTCTAAATTAAGTTTTTTTATAAACTCAGTGTGCAGGAGAGAAGAGCATCTCATCACAAACTTCTCCAAAGCAAGTATAAGACAAGTATAACCATGCTGCCCTTGTTCATACCAGTACTCAGAGAGCTGACAGACAACGACAGAAAGCTTGGCTGTCAGTATTGTGGTAAATGACATTTTAATTATTAATTTCCTACCTCCTGCAGAAGGTCCCCTTCATTATTCATCTCGCACTTTTTTATGTAAGTTGCCCTTGGAAACCACAATATCCCCAACCAATGCATTGCACGTGTATTTATATGTACACCTGAAACAAACACTGTAGAGGATGAATTCCATGGAGGTTCTTTCCAGAGGGGACTGGCAGGTAAAAAAAGATGAACACCAGACTCTGATGTGTCATGCCCCAGGCACAGGATGCTGGAACCGCGCTAGAAAAGTCTGGATGACAAATGCTCGTTTATGCCTGACTCCCTTACAAACAAAGGCATACAAAGCCTAACACTGTGTTGATTGGCTTTTCCTCCAACACACTGAATTTTTGTTATATAACAATTGTATTCTGGAATGAAATCTATTGTTAGACTCGGATGATGAACGCTTATTATTAGACAATTGTGCAATCAAAGTCCCAGACAAAAGCACAAATGGAAAAATACAGCTGTCAGTGACCCAGATTTTTTTTTTTTTTTTTTACCAACGGCAAAAACCTACTCATTTGTAATTCCGGTTTTTATTTCCTTTTTCAGGGTCCCTTCCGGGCTTCTAAATTAATTCTGGCCCTTCATTATATAACTGCAGCCATCTTTCCGTAGCGTTTCCAGTTCTCCATGTGCTAGTCTCTGACAGACCCCAGCCCTTTCCAGCTGGCCACAATGAGCATAGAACTATCTACAGTCTGCCCTACATGGTCCCATTAACAACCCTAACTCAGTCAGAGGAAGTAGGGAAGCTTTTCAAAGGGTGTTTGAAATGATGCTTCTGCTGCCTTCAGTTGTGACAATTGATGGAGGAGGGGAGGGGAGGGGAGGGGAGATGTGTTTTTCCTAAATCAAATCAAATCTTCTAAGCATTTTTCATGTATGAGTGCACGGGCTCCATAGCTGGTCATTTCTGTCTGGGGTTTGGAGGCCTGAGGAAGCTAAGCCAGCACTCCAGCCACACAGCCAGGTCTTGTTCTATTTCTGCAACTGCCGAGCCATTATTTTATGTTTGTTGTAATCAACTCTGCTTTTCCTGTATTTCTTTGTTCATCTTTCTACCTGTCTCTCCCTTTGTCCCTCTTTTCCACCTGATGGATTTCAATTTCTTCTCAGTTTACCTTCTAATCAAACCAAAATATCAAATTCAAACATACTGTTTATAGCAGTTGCTATATTGCTGACAAATTTTGTTCTCTATTCTTTTGCTTTTTATTTATATTACTTTATTTTATTTTTTCCATCACCATTTATCCCCTCTATGCCCTCTTACACTCCACCTCTCCTCCACCCCACCCCACACACACAAAATCACCACAGTGGTTACCCATGAGTTCTCTGGGGTTTTTTCCTTTTTTGCTCAATCCCTTCACCACCACCTCAACACCCCCTTTCCACCAGAGCTGTCTCTCTGCTCTCTATGAGACTGTCTCTATTTTGCTTGGTAGTTTAATTTGTTCATTAAATTCCACATATGAGTGAAATTATATGGTACTAGTCTTTCTCTGACTGGCTTATTTCACTTAGCATAATGTTCTCCATTTTGTTCTCTATTTTTTTTATCACAAAACTGAGTATCTGTAAAGTTTTCATTTCTCTCTTGAAAGCTAAAAAATTAAATTGGCCTTATTTACCTATTCACTCTGTTGACCTTTTTTCATAATTTTATCAAAATTCAAAAGCTGATTCTTTTATGAACCTAACAACCCATCTGTTTATTGTAAAGAATTGAGACAAAGTAAAAAATTATAGCTGAAGTTTCCAGATAATCAGCATTATTTACGTAATCTAAATGCAGTTCACATCCATAGCCACACACTCTTTCTTAATCCCTAAATTAATAATGAATCCTAATTCTAATACTCAAGATGAAATGGAAAAATTGTTGTGTAATATAACATGGGATTGGTACTTTTCCAACAAACAAATCAGTTAAACAGTTAGATCTTACTAACTTGTTAGATCTTATTCATTTAGAAGAATTTTCATGTCACAAAACTCTTGTCTGCGTAATAATGGCATGAGCAGTATGCACGTCATAAGTCAGAGATATTCATTTCCAGTAATACTCATTAGCATCTTTCTAATTCTGTGGTTCTCCCTGGACCTGTGCTCCATTATCCCTAACCTGCTAATCCAATTGTCTTTAGCCTCTCCTCATTATCATTGGTCTCCTTCCTGACTCAAAACCTCAAGGTTAGCTGTTTTAAATAAGTTTCCACCAACTTCTTCTCCTACCAGTGTAGTTGTAAACTTATTTAAAAAGTGTTTATTCTAGTCACACTGGTTAGTGCAAAACAAGTTTAAATTAAATATTATATAATACGTTAGTTTATATAAACTAACATAAAATATATATTTAATATTCTCTAAAACTAAACTCAATGTTTAAAAAGATTTAAAAATGATGCATGTCTTAGTTTGAGCTGCTATAACAAAAACTCCATAGACTGGGTGACTTATAAACAACAGAAACTCACAGTTCTGGAAGTAAGGAAATCCAAGATGAAGGTGCCAGAAGACTCAGTGCCTCACTGTGTACCCATATGGGAAACATGTGAGGAAGCTTTCTAAAGTCTCTTTTAGAAGGATCCTAATTTCATGAGAAATTCAGTCTATAGCCATACATGTCTAATAATTGTTAAATTCAGTAAAGATGATACAATCATAAAAAATTAAAAAAATTAATTAAGACTTATTCTTTCAGATTGTCTTACAATGGTCTTTATGATTTTGCATTACAAAAAAAATTACAAAAATTTTATTCTTGTATGATGCACTATAATAATGGTTTATACAAAAAAAAAGACAATATGGGTTTTAAATCAATGGATACAAGCTCAAAAAAGGCACTGTTTGAAATCAATAGATTGGCTAATAAATGCAAATTATATGACTTAATTTAAAATAATATGTATAAAGGGTATACTCTTTTTTTATGATTTCCTATTTCAGCTGGATTTCTTGATTGAAGAACTAATATTGATTATTTAAGGAAGAACAGCTTCTTTATTTTCATAAAATTTTCTTTAAAAAGTGGATGAGCGAGGTATCAGATTTTAACACATGCACTAACTTTTGACTGCCCCCCCACCCCCTAGGGGGAAAGAAAAAAAAAAAAAAAAAAAGAACCAATGCAGTGTACATCATAGACTTCCCAGAAATAATTCTCCCTTTGGGCGGGAGAGAGCAAAAAAAAGAAGAAAAATAATAAAGGTCCAAAATATGGGATTAAACAAGAAAAGAAAACAAAAGACCAGTCCAGGAGATCCAGCATACAAATAATAGGAGTTTCAGACAAATATGAGGAGAAAATATTCAAATATATTAATTTCCCAGAATTGAAGATCACAAGTTTCCAGAACACAAGGGTATATTGAGTGCCTAACTGAAAAGATTAAAATTAATACACATCAAGATTTGCCATCATAAAATCTTAGAACACTAACCCATACAATAAATGGGGAATCAAAATGAACTCAGACTTCTTAATGTCAACACTGGAAGCTGGAAGCTGGAAGACAACAGAGAAAAGTTTTCAAAATCCTGTGGGAAAATACTTAGCATATAATTCTATACTGAGTCAAAACTATCAATCAAGTGAAAAGAGAGGGATGTCTCACATACTACTCCTAAACCCTTTCTCAGAACACTAATGAAGACTATGGTTCTCCAAAATAGAAAACTAATACAGAGAAAAGCCAAAGATCCAAGGACCAGGAGATCTAACATGGGGAGATTAAAGAGAATCCCTCAGAAATTGATAAGGTTGGAGCTCAGAACAATAGCTGAATACTAAACGAAAAGTAGTCAGGTATTTTCAGAAAAGAAAGCCCAAGAAATATTTTTCAAGAAAAATAAATTAATAAAATAACTCTTATGTTGGAATGTTTGGGGAATAATTGAGATTAACTTTCTAATATATACATAGGATACGAAGTAACTGGATAAAAGGTAATTTTTAACTCCATGGAAACCAAAATAGGCCATGGGCAAGAAAAAAATAATAATATTATAATACTACATGGCTCAACTGTGAATAGCTTTACATAATCATAATAATGTAAATACTAAATATTGATCATATTAAAATTACAATATATTTTATTAGGAGGATTAGGAAAATTGAAAGTGTGCATTCAAGAAATAGGGAGGAAGACATGTTAAAGCCTCATTAATTTAATGTGAAAAGTCAATAATAGTACTGTAGGTATCATTTTTAGAGATATTGAGTTAAGACAAAGAAATCCAGCTAAAGAAATTGAGAATGGGTTGCCTCTGGGCAGCGGGAGTTGTAAAAGCTGATATGATTTTTATTGATTTCAGAGAGGAAAAGAAGGGGAGAGAGAGAGAGAGAGAGAGAAATCAATGATGAGAGAATTATTGATTGGCTGCCAATCCTGCATCAAGCTCAGAACCGGTGTGTGCCCTACCCAGGAATGGAACCACACTTCCTGGGTCAATGCTTAATCACTGAGCCACACCAGCTGCGCCATGTATAACTTTAATAAACATGAAAATGGAAGAAGGGACGTGAATTGTTTTATTATTTCTTCCAAAAGTTGTATTATTGTGTTTACTTGATCTTTTCTTTTTTTTTTTCTTTCTTTTTTAAATGTCATATTTAATTTCTTGATATACAGTTAGTCACTCTATCCTCTGGCTTTCACAAAACTTTACACAGTGCTTACCATGTTGTACTGTTTTTACCTGTCTTTATGTCTACCACCTAAGCTATAAATGCCTAGAGAGTTTTGATTCTGTTTTGTAACTCACGCACCTGGAACACAGCCTGTTTCATAATAAGAGATCAATATACTTCTGTTGAGTGAGTGAATGATATCTGGGAGAGATTAAATTTATTATCTAGGAAAAAATGCCCAGACTTCTATTATAAGAATTAAGTATGTATTGCCAAAGAACATATAGTATCTTTTGCCATCCTAAATCAAATTTTTATGATGGCTTAGAGTCAAGTTATATCCGCTATGCTCCTGTCAATCAGCGCAGCCACTGAAGCTAACATGAGTGCTTTTTTTCTATTAGATAAAGGACTGAAGCATCTATTGTCAGACATCTTCACCCATAAATAACAATTTACATTCATGATTCTTTTTTAGGTAAAGTCAGAGCCCTTCACACAATTTATATACCAAACATAGCTGATTTCAGAGCGTAATCTATATTATTTATGCCTATTTCAGGTTTGTTGAAATCAGTTTAGGGATGCTCAATTCAGAATGATTCACATGGAGCACTTAATACATAAAGAATATGGAAGGGAAAG